GTGTGAAAAAACACCATAAGTGCAAATTTGTCCCAAGACTTTTGTCCATGATTGTACATGTCTTAGGTTTAAGATAACAATAAGCAGAGCTGTCACTAACTTTCGAGTAAATGGTAGTCTCCATTTTCACAACCCTGTAACAAACTTGTTGCTTTGTGGGCAAACCATAATTATCAACAACAAGTAATTTCAAGGTCCCATCAAGCATACTCAGCCATTGCAACCCTTATGACAGTCCTGCTAACATTGTGGCCTAGCCCTGCAGTAAACACTCACAATGAAAAGTCAAGTGCACTGAATAACCCTACATGTATGCAAAGAATACATCTTTGATCTAGACTCCATGGGTGAATCATAGGTCATTAAAAATCAAATCAATCTACTTGACATACTGCTTCAATGGCTGCCAAATCCATTTTAAGTTGTTTCTGGGCCTGACATGTTTCTTTTCCCTTCTTCTGAACCTGTGCAACACATCAGAGCACACAAGTAAACTGATTAATTCTAATCCACTCCTCATAAATGAGTATTTACAAAACAAAATATAATAGTGATGCTTACTTCAAATAGTATTATTTTTAGTAATAACATTTGTAGCATTTTATCAATAGGAGACCTGTTTCGTAGTCCTTCAGCTAATGGCTAAGGTTCAAAACTGCAGTATTTGAGTCCTTGTGATGTGTTCTTAAGCCAATCTACACAATGTACTCAAAATGCAGTGACTTGCTCCATCAAGGTGCAAAAGGCAAAGTCTGCATACAAGCCAAGTAGCCNTCATAGGCCTTCAGTGCTGCCTGAGGTGATCAAAATCAGATAATAAAATGACAAAAATGCAAAGGTGATAATTTCTGCCACAGGATCTTTGAGGCAGAGAAGTTGAACAAAGTAGAGAAACCATGTACTGTGTTCTACAATGGTGGACAAAATTCCTTGGGACACTTGTGTTGTTGCTTGAATTATCTGTGTTTTAAAAAGGGGGTCTGAAAAGGTACTGCTATCCTTTTCAAACTGCATTGCTGCCCACCTCCCCCACCAGATACAATGCTGGAACTGGAGAAATTGCGTGCACATGTGTCCAACATTGTAGGTGGGGTGAGGGGAAGGGCTGAACAGGCATAGTTGAATTCACATGTGACTGTTTGTTTGGTGCGTGTGAAAAAACACCATAAGTGCAAATTTGTCCCAAGACTTTTGTCCATGATTGTAGATGTCTTAGGTTTAAGATAACAATAAACAGAGCTGTCACTAACTTTCGAGTAAATGGTAGTCTCTATTTCACAACCCTGTAACAAACTTGTTGCTTTGTGGACAAACCATATCAACAACAAGCAATTTCAAGGTCCCATCAAGCATACCTAGCCATTGTAGCTCTTAATGACAGCCCTGCTAACAGTGTGGCCTAACCCTGTGGCAGACACTCAAATGAGAAGTCAAGTACACTGAATAACCCTACAAGTAAGCAAAGAATACAACTTTGATCTAGCCTCCATGGGTGAATCATAGTAATATATCACAAATCAAATCAGTCTACTTGTCATACCGCTTCAATGGCTGCTAAATCCATTTTAAGTTGTTTTTGGGCCTGACATGTTTCTTTTCCCTTCTTCTGAACCTGTGCAACACATCAGAGCACACAAGTAAACTGATTAATTCTAATCCACTCCTCATAAATGAGTATTTACAAAACAAAATATAATAGGGATGCTTACTGCAAATAGTATTATTTTTAGTAATAACATTTGTAGCATTTTATCAATAGGAGGCCAGTGTTTTGTAGTCCTTCAGCTAATGGCTAAGGTTCAGAACTGCAGTGTTTGAGTCCTTGTGATGTGTTCTTAAGCCAAACAATCTACAGGATGTACGTGTACTCAACATGCAGTGACTTGCTCCATCGAGGTGTAAAAGGTAAAGTCTGTATATGAGCCAAGTGGCCCATCAGGCCAGTGCTTATATCCTGTAAATTCTGTAGGAGGGGGACATGGGGATTTGCGGTGTTGTGGTGTTGATGTTTTTTTAATGCGGTGATGCAGTGAATAAAATCTCAACTTGCAGTGTTGCGGTGATCTCAAACCCTAAGGTGTGCGATGTTTGTGTTTTTCACGCTGCGATGTTCAGTGAAATTGTTTGCGGTGCTGGGGTTTTTTGATTTACCCTTCTCAAACCTAAATTTGACCTAAATTTAGAATGTAAACTTCGTTAATAAATCCTAATTTATGACAAACACGTACCGTTGAGGTAATTTGTAAATAATTTGTAAAAAATACAGACCATCACTCTTCATTTATACGTCACTTGACAAGTAACTCGACCTCTGCCACCTGGAGCTGAGTGTTCAGTAGACATGTGGAGGAGCGAGGAAAGAAACAATGTGTTTATTTTGTGGAAAATTGTCGAGGTATAAAAGTATTATTGTAAGTGTAGATGAACGAATCATGGCACTAAAAATACGTGTTGCAGTGACGGTGTTTTGTTGACCTTTCTTGCGGTGATGCAGTGTTCGTTAATTTTCTTTGCGGTGTTGCGGTGTTTAGAACACCCCAATGTCGCCCTCCTGTAGCATGAAGTGACTAGGGGTATTTCTACTCGCCCCTAGATGGGATGCTACATGTCCAATGGTAGCAATTAAATGTAGGCATGATGATAGATGCGAATGCAGCCATAACTCTACTGGAAAAAAAGACCTGAAAAACATCTATTGATAACTATGGAATTTACTTATTTGAGCTGAGTATTATGTCCACTGAACACAAAGGGCCAACCAACACATGACCGCTCTCATGTGGATTTGATAGCTCGGTTGGGAGAGCATTGCACTGGTACACAAAGACTGTGGGTTCAAATCCTGTTCAAAGCCTGAAAATTTTTTCAGGTCATTTTTCCAGTAGTGTTATGGCTGCATTCGCATCAATCATCATGTCTACATTTAATTGCTACTGTTGTACATCTTTTATTATTTAATAAGGTCAAAAACAAGGGTGGCAATGAGTATCCCAATCCTTACCTCTTCAATTCTCTTCTGTACATTTTCCTTGTGTTTTTTGCCTCTCTCATGAAACTCTACACTCTAAAATTGCATAATTTAAACATACATTACACTGCACATGTACATGTACATCATGTGTTAGTTGATGAGGGTGCAGCCTGAGTCAACTATCATGCATAGAAATTGAGAGCAAATATTGGTTTAATATAAATCTACCAGTCATTCAAAATTGTATTTAAATCCTCTTCAATGACACTTCGAAAACGTAAAAAGCAGTCACCAGTTTGTTATCAAGAGCACACTGCTAGGCTACTCACTGTCTACAATAGTGTGGATAGCGATTAGAACTGCCAACAGAAGAATGGCATTCGCAATAGAACGCTACTAGATTTTTACTAATAAATAATTACATTATGAGCTCAAGATTTCTATCACATGACAGTTGACGAGGCCACAGCCAGTCAGTGTAAAGCACAGATTGTGGACTGCAGACTGCAGTCCAGGAGTAAAACTGAGACTAATGGTAAAATGAAGACTACAGACCAGGGTTAAAATGCAGACTACACCTTTTAAGTATTCAGTTAAATAGTCTGTAGTCTGCATTTCACTCCTGGTCTCCGGTTTGCAGTCCGCAGTCCGCAGTCTGCGTTTTACACTGACCTCACTGGATGTCTGACTGACAGACAGCTCAGTTCAGAACTTTACATGTACGTAGATCAGGCAGAGTGAGAAATAAAAATGTCACAAAATCGCTTGGCTTGTAGGGAGGCTTATACTACACTATACTGTACCAAAGACTATTCTGTCTATGTTTTTTTCAAGCTAGACTTACGACATTTATTGATAAAAAGCTGAACTATTTCACCGAATTACCGCTTTGTTGTCAGTAATCCAGCACTTGCAAAATTCACACAGCTTTCTCGGTTGAGATTTCCAATATTCAGCCCTAAAAGGAAGAAATATTTTATAAATGTTTGTCTCAATTAGCAGGCTTTAAAGTTTGACAGTTTTTCAGTCACTTACATGATGTTCAAAGCCTTCAATACCCCTAACCCAAAATCCAAGATGGGCGCCGTCTTCTTCATTAGGTTCAAGTCTTCTGACTCGCTGAAAGGTCACCTAGGATAGACTGGGGTAGAGGGAACATTTGTTGGAGGAGGAGAGCAGCGGGGGTGGGGTGGGGTGGGCGGGGGGGGGGGCGCGGAAGGCGAAGGGAAGAGATGTTGCCTGGTGGGCAATAGACTACCAAACCAAATTCCCGTACTATATAAAGCGCCCCAAAGTTGTGGAGTTGCCTAAGGAAGGGATACTTAGTCGATGAGATGCAACGCCAAGCGTCAGCAGATCAGCATGTCCTATCGCACTGTCTTATGATTATCTTCGTCATTTTAGTTTAGTTTAAATGCAAAGCAACCACACATCACGAGTGTAGGGAACGTTGTAAAACGGTAAATGAGTCGTGACGGGCTCAACGGTGGAACGGAGACCTTGTCCAGTTCCGTTTCTCCCGCCGATGGACTGACCCAAAGCCAGAATTCGCTTGTGAATGGAGAGCAACCAACATACTACTGCCTCTTCTAAAAAGAAGACCAAATGACTGAATTGTGAGTTAGTCTCCTGAGTCTCGGCGGAGTGGTAGTGGTTGTTTGAAGGGGGCTAGAGTTTCATCAGTTGACTAATATGTGATGCTGAATTAGATCTTTACGTCTATCTTCGAGGTTCCGTTCGCCGTCAAGCGTGGCTATGCATACCCTGCGAGCCGAGTCTCCTTTGAAGGAGACTCTGCTCCCAGGGTAGGCTATGTAGTCATTGAAGCGGAATGAAGGTAAACTAAAAGTGGAATAAAAACAGATATTTAAGTCTGAGAAGCTGCTAACAACCCTGGGAGTAGGTCTAAGCTGAAAACTCTTTGCGCATAAGTATCTGCTTTCCCCTTCCACTCCATCCCCTATCCTAGAGTGGTTTTAATTTTATTCTATTTTATTTACATGATTGACTTTATAAAGGTTAACAAAACGGAGGCATTAACTTTGTTGTCGTGTGGCAACTGCCGATCATTTAGAACTGCATTCACATCAACTCTCTAAACCAAGTAAGTAATGGAAAAATGTTTTTAGAATCAAGTTCCAAAACGTCAAAGCTAGGAGTTTTCATTCATTTATTGTCCCAAAAACTGACCTCAGTCGGAAGCCAGCAAACTTTGGTATGCGCCCCAACATGACATGCAGCTTGCATCTTTATTCATCCCTTCTTCAAATAACGCTAAATTTTACATATGGCAATCAAACTATAACCACAACATTACACCCTGGAGGAAAAAATTCATATCAGAGCTGTGACTACATTACTTGGGACGTTTTAAATGTAGTCTCAACAATATTTTTCGGGCCTCTTTTGTTAACCCGCTAAAGAAGAGATTCAATGAATTCTCATACAGCACAAAAACTGAGGTGACCTTTCTGTATCAGCAGGGCAACAAATGACTCAAAATTGACAGTAAGTTCCTATCATACGCTAACATTTGTTCCATATACATTTCACGAAAAATAACTTGTACCTCTCATTTATGGCAGGAGACTGTATTCTGCTTTGTCAGTCTTTCTCAACAACGTACCGAACAACATTAGAGCATTGTTTTTATCTTGTGTCCTGCTATTAATCCTGCGTCGAATGGCTTTCAAAATAAGCCTTCTATCTATTTTGACCGCTATACTGTACTTTTCAAGTCAGTCTGGAGTCACGCTCGGAAAAGAATCCCAACCAACCAAGTATGGCGAAGTCTACCGCGCCAAAAGTCAGATTGATTCCCTGATTTACAAGCTAACTCTTGATTTAAACACCTTTAACGAAAAGAAAACGCTGGCCACTGTTATGCAAAAGGACGCCGAGAAGCTGGCTCGAATCGCTGAAGAAGAGATCGCCCTGCTTAAACCGGTACAACATCTTTTGGATAAACTGATAAAGGGTAATGCTTCAAGTGGATATCAACGCTGTTCAACCAAACAAGGAGGAAAAATCCCAATGAGAATTGCGACAAAAGGATCCTCTCTCTTGAAACATTACACCATAAGTGTTCCAGGTGAGAATGTTTGTTCCTTTTGATTGTTTTTCTGTACTAGCAACTACCGTTGAAATATCAAAATGAACTGATATAAATCGATTCGGATCCGTTGATAGTCTTCGAAAAAGAATTAGGTAAACATCATGATGTAATGAAGTTGCGATTTTTTCAACAGTTTTTTTGTTTCAATGCCACTGTGCCTTGCTACCAGTCAACTGGATTGAGATTTGTAGTGCACTTTGTAAATTTCAGCTGAGGTATTCTTCAGGTTTTGCGATTTTGATCGATTTTCAGCAAAGTTAAGTTGCACTCAGTGAATGTTCAGGACAATTGAGTTGTAATTCTTAGAACACATTGCAGAACAATTTAGTCAAGACTTTCAGAAATTTTAAGCACATCACAACTCAACTGTAGGTCATTTAATAGTCAGGGCCTGTTACTAAAGAGAATAGAGAGGCCAGTTGAGCACTGCTTAACTTACGTATTACTTTTTCTTTGCACTGCATTTTATTTGAAGTCTGTTGTAATAGATAAAAGTTCGAGATTCTCCGCTTAAGAAAAAACCACAGACATTTTCTATTTTCACTTTTATTTCCCTAGTTAACCATCGTCAACTGATAGATCGTGGATTAACAGGTGACAATGGAGATGACTTGCAAGTCTATTACCATGCCAACGGGCAGCACCCTGCTCAAATCCACCGCGTCCTCAGTGGCCTGGGAACAAAGTCAGCTACTGTCCAGTTCAGACTGCAGGCTCCTATGTCAAGCAACACTGTTGATGACTCCTCTTACTTTCTAGTGCTTGGCGGTGCGGTCAGTGGAAGCGTCATGGATAACCCTGACCACGTGTACGCCTTTCACGACGATTTCTCGAGCTCTGTCCTGAAGGAAGAATGGATGACAAACAATTTCGGTAAATGGAGCGTGCAAAAAGGACGACTGCTTGGAGACACTTTCCAGGGAAGCATCAAAGACAATGTGGAGATCGGATTGTACGCGAAGTCAGGATTTACATGGAAGGATGTTGAGGTGGAGCTTGACTTAATGGAGACTGGGACTAAGCGTAGTGCTCCTGGACCGTTTTTACGCGTCAGCAATGTGGATCACAGTAAGACTACGGGTTGGTGGTTTCAATACTACCCACCGAACGTTGATAGTTGTACGATGAGACCTCAAGCTAACAACAACGATGGCAGCTGGAAATACAAGGGCAAGTTACCTACAGCCTTTACTATCAACACTTGGTTTCATTTCAAGTATCAGGTGCTCGGCGACAGGTTTTCCCAATGGGCGAATGGTAAACTGGTGCACAATAATGTACAAGTGGGCAGCGAATGGAAAATACCTGCAGGAACTTTAGGCCTGGGCTGTTTCAAGTCTTCCCACAACTGTAAAACACTTTACGACAACATCAAAGTGAGATTCCTAGTTGCCAGTCCTCCAAACATCACTCTTGGAAACTTTCAACCAGGCTTCTTTAGCCAAAGTAGTCTTTTGGGTGAAAAGAAACTTCCCGCTGATTCGTGCAAACAAATCCATGATGCAAGTCTGGCGAACAACAAACCACGCGCCAAAAATGGCATCTACTGGATCAAGACTGACCTAAAAGGAAGTTTAGCAGTGCAGACTTACTGTGACATGGCAAATGGTGGCTGGACTCTCGTGGGAAAAATCAGCGGAAACGTTGGCAATATTTACAAGACATGGCTGGTCTCTAACTACAACACTGTTGCACTGAAAACACCAAATATCACTAAACAGAAAGAGTATGCCTGTATCGACGCGCGCAGATTGGCGGTGGAGGAAGCGTCCTCGATTCTGTTGTCCAGCGGTGAGCGGATGGATGGCTTGGGGAGCAAGTGGGTGATGTGGAGGCTGCCTGGAGACAGAGAAAAGAACTTGCAGTGGAATCACTCTGTTGGGCCGTCCACTGTAAATGCAGCGGCTAAGACACCCGTTATGGTGTATGCTTGGAATGGCAACAAAAAGGTAATAAGAGATAGAAAGAGACCCAAAACTTACCTTTGCGTTGATGGATTTTCCGTAATATTTTGGAGCGTTTCCATTTTCCAGCATGCAAGGACGTCACTGGTTAGTATCAGAGCGGTAACAAGCATAAGAAAGTTAAGTATGATTGACTTATGTCTGTCCCAGCTAGTACAAACCTTCGCTAATATTTATTTTTGTTTCTTCGTTTTCTGTTTTTTGAAGATCTGTTATCAGAACGAGTTCGGGATCCTGCCTAATAGTGCTCATGGAGGTTCGTACCCTTACGCCTCTTACGACGCTGCTGGGGGCACTTACACCAATGATTATTGCATGTCTGTGGGGGTCATGGCTAAAGGTTTCACTGCGCATGGCTGGTCGCAGAATGCCAGTGGTTACGACAGTCCCAGCAGCGACTCCGATTGGCCGAACAAAGCATACAATCACCAGTCCCCACACTTGACAATCTGGCTGAAATAACTGTAGCAACGACCTCAGAGAAACAATCACAGATAACCGTGATTTCTATTGCGCTCTGATTGGGATTTATATCAACTTAGATCGAGAAGGTCAAATTGAGAGAATATTATAGGAAAGGCGATTTCATTTCATATACGGTAGCATTGTCGTGAAAGAGGAGAGATTACGTCAAGAGAAAAATCAACAGAGTCAAAGAACATCACCATAAAGTAGGTTGCCAGGGACCAAGACAGACATTTGTTTCGTTCGGTGAAGGGAGATCGATTTTCCGTCTTTTAAGTTTCGTTTGCTTTGCCGAGAATAAGGGGAATCTTGCAAGTGTGTAACAGATAACTGAGGCGTTGTTAAGTTGTGGAAAACATGAAAACAAAGAAAAAAATAAAATAAAATGGTGCTTGGTAAAGAGTCAGGATTCCTTTATACTCTCCAAAATCAACACACGACACTCCAGACAAAAAATTGTTGAGTGACCCAGAAGAATTGTGTGACGAATCTGAAATTTACGTAAAAACTGAACGAGATCTACCATCAGAAATATAAGGGCGTAAGGCCTGTCTACACCAGAATAGAAAATCTTCCGAGTGCAAGACCCATATACTCCGTACAACTCATTGTGTATTCAATTTAGTTGCGCGACATGCTGTACAGCATTCTCACTTGTGCCATGAAATGTATTTACTCGGAAAATCTTATCCACAACAGTAGCCACACCTTTACAGGAAGCAGCACAACTCTTAACAGTAAGAAGCTTTTTGAGTGTATTTTTCAACATCACTAGTGATTTATATCACCGTAAAACCTTAAAAAGCATCTGTTATCGCAATGAACTGAAACAGTCCAAGATTTACCAGTAGCAGTCAATAGGTGTTGCCCGGCGTGGACTCCCATATGAACAGGTCAGGGATGCTTGGCGTCTCGCTTAGAGCTGTAAATCAAGGTGTTTTGATTTCACTTAGAGTGTTTAGGACGAAACACCACTATTTTAAGATGTCAGGGTATTTTTAGGATGCACTTGTCGTTAAATTCATTATGGCCTTTAATGGCTTTGGTTGTGTTGACTTATAAATAGTGATTGTCATAGACATTTGCCACGCCACTATCAGACCTGAAACGAAGTATAAAAGTTAAAACTCGTGACAATGATGGTCAGCAGCCTTTCCTGGGTCTGTGCACGTGGAGCAGCTTCCGTTTCTCCCGCCAGAGGACTGAGCCAGAGCCAGAATTCGTTTGTGAATGGAGAGCAACCAACATACTACTGTCTCTAAAGTGAAAACCAAACAACTGCATTGTGGGTTAGTCTCGGCGGAGGGGTAGTGGTTGTTTCAAGGGGGCTAGAGTTTTCATCAGTTTACTCGTATGTGCAGTTGGTGCTGGTGAATTAGTCTATCCTCGAGGTTCAGTTCGTCGTCAAGTGTGACAATGCAGCCATTGAAGCGGAATGAAAGACGAATACATTGTGGAAGGAAAAACAGATTTTTAGGTCTCAGAAGCTGCTAATAACCCTGGGAGTAGGTCTAAGCTGAAAACTCCTGGTTGAGTATCTGCCTCCTCTTTCCACTCCATCCACAACCCTGGAATGTTTATTTTGTTTTATTTTATTTTATTTACATGATTGACATTATAATAAAAGGTTAACGATATTAACAGATATTTACATTCCGCAGATCATAAAGAACTGCCCTTAAATAAAATCCTCAAAACATGGGCAAGCAAGTAATAAAAACAGTTTTAAGAACCTACTTCCAAAACTTTAAGGAATTTTCATTCATTTATCCCAAACACTCAATTGAAAGTTTAGAAACTTTGTTCAGTATGCCGCAGGGCATGACAGACAGCTCTGACATTTCCCGCTTTGATCTTTATTCATTTCTTCTCCGCTCGATCCAAACAACGCATATAAAATGCGAATGAAATATGAATGTAGAATGCGTGAAATGATTTTAATGTGTAAGGTTATATTGTAGTTTTTGAAAGATTTTAATTTATATATTTAAGTCAGCAGGCCTCCCTTGATAACAGTGCTGTTGCACTGAAGAGTCATCCTGGATAAATATTCGATGTTTGTTAATATAAAATTTACAATTCACGAAAAATAACTTGTACGTCTACTCGTTTATGACGGTAAACCGAATTATTCATAGTCAGTAGTATTTCCCAACAAACAGCCCAACAACATTAGGGCGTTGCTTTTATCTTGCGTATTGCTATTAATCCTGCGTCGAATGGCTTTCAAAATAAGCCTTCTCGCTATTTTGACCGCTTCATTGTACTTTTCAAGTCAGTCTGGAGTCACGCTCGGAAAAGAATCCCAACCAACCAAGCATGGCGAAGTCTACCGCGCCAAAAGTCAGATTGATTCCCTGATTTACAAGCTAACTCTCGATTTAAACACCTTTAACGAAAAGAAAACGCTGGCCACTGTTATGCAAAAGGATGCTGAGAAGCTGGCTCGAATCGCTGAAGAAGAAATCGCCCTGCTTAAACCGGTACAACATCTTTTGGATAAACTGATAAAGGGTAATGCTTCGAGTGGATATCAACACTGTCTAACCAAACAAGGAGGAAAAATCCCAATGAGAATTGA